TGAGACAGTGATTGAGACTGGGTGTGGTGGCATGCACCTGTAATCCCAGCACTTGGGAGGCTGTAAACAGGAGGATCACTATGTTTCCAATCTACGTAGTGAGACCCTGTAGACCTGTACTAAATAAAAAAAATAAATAAAAAAAAAAAAATAGGCAAAAGATATAAATAGTAGTTTCACAGAACAAATACTAATCACAAATAAATGTACAAAAAGATAAAAATATTCAATTTTAGCAAGGAGGAAATGTCAAGAGTATAATTTAAAATTACTTCATACTCAATAATTGACAAAATTTTTAAAAGTATAACAATACCAACTATTGAAAAATGTGAACTGTATTATTTTGGAAGTGTAGTTCAGTAAAACTAGCATGTAAAAACCTTACAGACTTAACTAATAAAGCTAAGGATGTGGGATTACATAACCCAGTAATTCCATGTCACTCCTATGAACTATATCAGGAGAAATAATAGAATGTCCATAATTACACTGCTTACTGTAGCCAGAAGTGGGAGACAGGGAGACAGTAGAATAAATACAGCATAATACATGTATTTATCAGAATATAGTGTCACAATTAAACAAATGAAGCACAATTACAAGTCTGTATCATGGCAAAATGATAAAATCTTAAATGTTGAACAAGTCACAGGAAATTATATTCAGGAGTCAATATAAAAGTTAAGACATCTTTAACAAATACAGACATAATCCCAATCTCTAAAATAAATCAAATATATATATACACATAGTAAAATAGTCTTCCACTAGTTCAGTCTAAGAGATAAGATAGAATTTTTTTCAAATTGTTGAGGTTCAATATAATTTATGAGGCAATAGTAATGTTTAATTTATAAGGACATCATGTGTCAGAGAAAATATTTTATATCTTAGGACATCTACTTTAAATTAATTTCTAAAAAACTTCATGAGAATTTTTTTTTGGTACTAGGAATTGAATCCAAGGCCTTTCCCACTGAGCTATATTCCCAGACCTCTTTTTATTTTGAGACAGAGTCTTGCTAAATTACTCTATTGCTCAATTTTGAGATCTTAGCATGCAGGGGGTATGGGATCACAGGAATGCACCACCACACCCATTGGAAACTATTATTTATGCCTTTTCTTCTTACACATTGCTGTTCTTTAAAAGACCATGTACAACTTACTGGATTGGTCATAAGTATGACCAGTCAGGTTCACATGCTCATCGCTACATGAATAGAAACTGATACTGACAGAAAACTAAATATTCTCAAAGACCAAAAAAAAAAAAAAAAAATAGAAATACAGGTTGAACACTCCTAATTTGAGTCAGAAACGCTTCTAAATCTAAAACTTCTTGAGCACTGGTATGATGCCACTAGTGAAAAACTTCCCATGTTACCTCATGTAATAAGTCACAGTCAAAATGTAAGTGCACTAAAAATACCACACAATACTATCTTTCACATATGTGTAAACAGTGTATGTAAAACACAAATTTTGTGTTAATATATGAGTCTCACATCCAAGGTATTTCATTATGTATACTCATCAAGTAAAATACCCAAATTCTAGAGCATTACCTGGTCTATATTTAAAACAGAACAAATCGAAGTTTAATGAAAAGTGATTTATCCATAGGCATGAACAACGCTCAGTTAGAGTTGGTGAAGCAGAGCTGGTTTGTGACTTAACAGAGAAGGCATCTAAGAAGAGATTTTAATGAACGTATTTCAGTAGACAAAAGGGAACTACAGCAAAAGCCCAAACAAAAACAGTAGTTTTAAGATTAATACTTTAGCAAAACAATACAAGACCAAGAAGACACTAGATATCTAGAATTAGTCCATTTAGTGCTATTTATTCTGTATTTTCTGGGAACATATCTAAGTGAGATAACACAAAATAGATTTATGAAAAACTAAAGACTACTAACATTTGCTTTTTCAAATGATATGCCTGGTATAATGCTTGTTATTTAAGTCTGCTGGGTTCAACTGTAGATTATTAATTTCTCACTGATATGCTACCCATCAGTACTAGGAAAAAGAAAATAGATACTTTGATTAATGTTAAGAGAAACTATGGAGCCAGGTATGGTGGTACATCCCTATAATTCCAGCACTCTAGGAGACTGAGGCAAGATCATGAGTTGAAGCCCAGCTTGAACAACCTATAAAATTAGTCAGACACTGTCTAAATTAAAAAGAAGTTTGAAATGCAGTGAGATAGTGAGGTTAAGATTGATACCTAAATCATTTGATAATAACAATAAGCTTTTCTTCTGGATGGTTAACAACCTAAGTTTGCAGACCAAATTAGAGAAAAAGGAGGGCTACAAGGAAAGCCAACTTTTTGGCCCTAGCCTTCTAAGGTCAATTAAGACTCAGGACATATGAGAACTTGTACTGTAACGTCATGTACCTCGGTAGTGTCCCAAATTTTCTGATCAAGAAGATTATGGGGCCAAAGAGGAAAGCGATCGATGACATAGAGTGGGCCTAAGGAGAGTCACATGGGGAGAAGACACTCTCTCAGGCTTTCACAGAGAGCACATTGGCCAAGCAATGGTCGTGACTCATCCACATGGCTGCACTGATAAAGGTTCTACAATCTGAGGTACAGGATCTCAGGACAAATCCTGAGGGCATTTCATTGACCTTCTCAGACCAAAAAGCTACAACTCTTGTTGCACAGGTCCTGCTTTACCTTGGTCTTAACCATCCAGTAGAAAAGTATGAAGACGAAATATAAGAAATAAAGCCATGCTGTTAAGTTAAGCTGTGAGTGACTCAGGTCAATAATTTCTGTCATTGCCAGTTAAACAGAAGACCCAATGCTATTATGGGCTACTGGACTCTTTTAGAATATTTTGCTGAGTTTACACAGCTATAATATTCAGTAACTGAACTTAGGAAAAATGGGGTACACCGATGAATGTCCATTCTGTATCTGTGTATTCAAAGTGGTTGGGGTAGATATATAGTTGCATTGTCTTAATGAATGGAATGATTTGTTCTATTGGTGTTTGTAAATAGGATCACAAGTCCGCATCTTGTACAGCAATTAACCACTAAGAATAATATATGCAGTGTATAATTTGTTGAAACTGTACTTCCGATTTGATTTGAAACTGTCTCATTGCTATATGTTTATCAATAAAACTGTAGAAAAAAAAATAAAATAAAATAAAATTCCCCGAAAAATAAATAAATAAATAAATAAATTAAAAAGAACTGGGATGCAGCTCAGTACAAAAGCCCTGAGTTCCACTGGAAGAAAAGGGGGAATTCTTAATAAAGGCAAAGAATCATAATTTATTAAGATCAATAGGAAAGTATTAATGTCATACTTTATGGACTTAAAATTTATAAATATTTTTTTAATTAAAGAGGAAAATGCTGGCCTTTCCATTGCTAGGTGGGCTATTTCACCAATATAAAATTTAGTGTATGAAAATAAGATAAAATGTCCGAACCATTAAATCTTAAATGCCTAAAGGTTAATTCTCAGGAAAATATTTTAGATTCAAATATTTTATGTTTTAGATTAAAGTGTTTTAGAGGGGCTGGGGAGATGGCTCAGTGGAATAAGCACTTCCCTGGGAAGCACAAGGGCCTGAGTTCAATCCCCAGTTCCACCAAAAAAACAGTACTTTAGAAAATATTTTAGATATATATTTTAAATATTTCCTTGTTTACTTCATACATTATATAAAAACTACCAAAAAAACGAAAAAAAGGTAAAACTATACGTTTAGGCTATGCATGTAATTATCTAACTTACCAGACTAAAAAGAAAGCCTAGTATCATTTCTGCAATTTCATTCAATATTATTAATATTCTTTCTATTCTTACTGAAACCTCAATATTAATCACCTCCATTACGTAACAAAAAGAAAATTAAAATGATCTTATACAACAGTAGTACAGCACCTGCACACCATGTAGAAGGCCCTAGGTTTGATCCTGAAAGGGAAGAAGGAAAGTAAGTATGACAGTTAAAGTGGATGGCCAGCTTTCTTGGCTTGCTTTCCAGGTGTATATGACTAGGTCACTATGGTACCATATATGGTCCCTGACTCCTTCATCTCTTTCACTGTTTCCCCCCTCCTCTGCTTTCTGACCACTAGGAACTAGCAGCTTTCCTCCAGGTTGTTTCTGTTGTGAAGCCATTCACTGACTGAATCCCTTGAAACTGTGAGCCAAATCAAAACTCTCCATTAAATTTGTGGGTACAGATATTGTATCTCAGCAACAGGAAAGCTAATTACTATATGAAGAAAGAAAGAAAATGCAAATAAAAATTTTTATAGATAGTCTAAGAAGAAAAATACCTGAAAGCATATAAAGTAAAACCTGAATGATGCTCATTCCAGAGCATGGGAGAATATCTTTTAATCAATCCTGTAGAAAAATGAACTCTTTCATATGCTTTGACATTAACAGAAAATTATACAAATTTCAGTATTTATATAGAGTGTAACTTTTATCCCAAACTGAGCAAAATGCAACCACATAGAAGAAAATGTATTTTTAATTTAGAATAATCATACTAATTAAGCATAACTAATTTTTAGAATTGTTTTCCTTTTTGTAATCACATATGCCAATGCTACCTTATCTACTGAATTAAAAGCTAAAATGGGATGTGCTAAGACTTTATCCTAATAAGTCATCCTTAAAGTACTGTGCTAAATAATTTAAAATATCTCCTCAATACAATGAAACCCATAATTTGTACAATGTGTTTATAACTATAATAAAAAGGAAAAACACGAAAGTTCCCCTATAAAACTTATAGTGTCCCTATAAGTTTGTTAAGCTGATACTAGAACTTTTAAGCTCAACCTGATACTCAAAGAACTACTTTTCTACTAAGCAAAAGTGTAGCTGCTTTCTCAAAATGTTATTAAAGCCAGAACAGTATACAAAATGATTTTTAAAGAGCACAGAACACTCAGTTCTAAGTATTAAGACTGTATCTTTAATAACAAAAAAATTTCACCCACCTTTCAAACCTAGAGTTTGTAGCTGGAAGAGCCGACCAAGTTCATAAGGCAAAACCCGTAACATATTGTGATTTAAAAGCAATTCCCTGTTTAAAAAGAAACTGTTTTAATATACCGAAGCTTTATTTTAATATGTGTATTTGCCATTCTAACCATTTGTATAACATGAGTAACAGTTTCATTCAAATGATTTCTTTATGTTAACCCAAAACTTCTGTGCTTAATACTATTAAAGTACTATATTGAACTTATTTTTTGGTACTACGAATCAAACTCAGGACCTTACACTTGCCAGGAAGGCATTATACCTGAGCTACATCCTGGCCAAAGTCTTAAGGTCTTACAATACTATATTACAGTAATAACATACTACAAAATGTATAACTGCCACAGTTTTTAAGTTTTAATAGTGTTTCTATGATTTACTTATCCTTTAACATAGATTAGAGGGAAAGAAAGTTATACATCATTCTCAATCTAAATCCATCTTCTTTGCTCTCACCCAAAATCCTATCAGATGAAATCAAAGTGATACATCAGTATCCAAAGACAGTAAGTGAACTTGAGCCTAATTTGATTTATAGAAAAGAATAAATTTTTACATACACTTCAGGAATAAACTAAGTTATAATTAGCCTAATCATCATCTTTAGCTAATCAACAGCTTTAGCTGTTTATAACATGGTCATTTCTAAACAGTATGAAACAGAAAACTACAGAAAAATGAAATTAATAAAGAACAATAACTGAATGAGTTGGGTGTGGTGGACCATGCTTATAATTGCAGCAACTGGAAGGATGATGCAAATGAATGAACTTCAAGACCAGTGTGGGACTTATATAGTAAGACCTTGGCTTCAAAAGTGAAAAAAAAAAAAGGCAGGGGATAGTGGCACATGTCTGTAATCTGAACACCTAATATTCTGGGACCCTGAGGCAGGAGAATCACAAATTCAATCCCAGCCTGGGCAACTTAATGACTTAGCGAGACCCTATCCCAAAATAAAAGAGTGAACTGGAACTATAGCTCAGTACAGAAAGTCCTAGGTTCAATCCCCAGTACTGCAAAGGTAGGGAAGGGAAGGAGAAGGGAGGGATGAGAGGGAATGGAGGAAAGGTAGAAAAGGTAGGAGCAGGACAGTATAGAGCGGAAAGGGGGAGGAAGAAGAGAAGGCAGAAGAAAGTATATCAAAAATGTAAAATACAACAGCGAACATAAAAAGACAAAGAACTCTCACCAACAATCAGATACAGGGGCTGGAGAGATGGCTCAGTGGTCTAAAGCACCTACTTGAAACAAGCTTGGCAAAGCACAGAGACCGCGGTTCGATCCCCAGCACCACATGCCAGCCAGACCCGCCCCCTGGTGGGCTGAGCTGGCCACACACACACACACAAATAAAATATTAAAGCACAGGAAAGAATATACAAGGAAAGTATAGCATAAATAAGGTCTAAATTTAGGGTTGGCCAAATAGCTCATCAGGTTAAAGGGCCTGCAAGCAGGTGCTGGGCTGGGGGTTCGATCCAGCTGTGCTGGGCCCGCCCCTGGGGCGCTGAGACAGCAATTGAGACTGGGCATGGTGGTGCGCCTATAATCCTAGCTCTTGGGAGGCTGTAAACAGGCAGATTACTAGGAGTTCAATCTAGTAGTAAGACCCTGAACACCCGTAGACCCTTCCCTAAAATACAAAAATAAATAAACATGGTTTAAATTTGACTGTGAAATTCTGAGCAGACTACAGAAAAAACAGCACTTTCATTAAATGATCAAAAAGTTCTAAAACCAATAAAAAGGATGGTAAAGAACAGTATGTTTATTTACTGCGTTAACAGATAATGCTAAAAATAAAAAAGAAACAAAACAGATAATACAGAAAGGCAATTTTTTTGTTTGTTTATTTTTGTGGAACCGGGGATTAAACTGAGGCCCTATCTCCCCAGCCCCAATTTTTTTTTTTCATGGGGAACACATACATGGTCTTAAGATTCCTGCAGCATGTTATACTACGAAGAAGTTTTTTTCTAGAAACAAATCTACCAAGTTTTAGAGTTTTCTTAATGAGTACTAATATAAAATACAAATACACATTATTTTACAGTAGGAATATATTCCTTTAAGCTTGCCTTATAAGCAAATCATATTTTCCAAATTATTTCTGGTTAGTCATATCAGAGTTGAAAACAAAATGAGAGACTCTTAATCTTATTCCACCTCCGATCTGTCAAAACTGATGATAGGAATCTCCAAATTTTAAAGGAAGTGTTCATTGGAAGCCAACACAAAAACTATGCTTACAGGCGCCGGGGAGATGGCTCAGCAGAATAAGCACTTGCCTGGCAAGCACAAGGGCCTGAGTTCAACCCCCAGTCCCTCCAAAAAAAGGTTATGCTTACAGAGTTTACATCATTTGATTGTCACAGACATATACAAATCCCACTCTAAAAACAGTTGCATCCCATAATTTTATTTGGTAAATTTAGGATTTTATGTAATGAGTCATGTATGTAATATTTCCTCACCTGAGAGACACCATGTTTCCTAGTTCTGCTGGTAAACTTCTGAGTTTATTGGATGATAGATCCAGGTAAACCAGATTATGAAGCTTGGCAATATCAGGTGGAATGCGACTAAGGTAATTGTCATTTAGGTGCAGCGCTGTCAAGTGTGTCAATGACCAAAGTGATGTACTTAAGCTCCGCACTCTACCTAAAATGCAAAATATTACAGCATAAAAACTAGGCCCAAGACAAAATTTAACCTGTAAGACTAAAATGCAGAAGCAGTCAGGGGTGGTGGCACAAACCTATGATCCCAGAATAAAGAGGCTGAGGCAGGAGAATCACCACATGTTCAAAACCAACTTGAGCTATACAGCAAGTTGAAAACCAGACTGAACTACATAGTGGGACCTTGTCTTAAAAAACAAAATAAAAATATAAAAGAAATTGCAAATAAAGTAATACTATATCTGACATTTTAATTTCATACTTAGCGCCACGATTGCTTCTGCAAAATACATGGCTTTGATTTTATTTCATGACACTTTCACCTAATAACCATTCTCATGGGCCCTCTGTGTGTTAAATGAATTGTGGCAAGAGAGGTGTGGTGGTGCATGTCTATAATCACAGAACTCGGGAGGCTGAGGCAGGATTGCCATGAGTTTAAGGCCAGCCTGAGCTACACAGGGAGCTCAAGGCCAGCCTGGACTACTTAGTAAGACCCTGTCTCAAAAAAACAATGAATGAATGAATGAATGAATGGTGGTAAGGTATAGAGACCTTTGGAGTCATATATCATGGGATTGGATTGAGCTTTTATGGAAGAAAGGTCTTGATTTTATTTTTAAATCATACTCCTTACAAAACTATTAGAGCAAGGTTTATCTATACCCATGGCCTAGGTTAAGCTACAGACTTTAAATAGGCAAGAATAATTACTATGATTTAGAATCAACTTTAGCCAACAGGAAAACCACTATTTTCCCAAAGGAGACAACTTTCTTCAGCTTTAAAGAATTAAAGACATATGTATTATTGTATGTTATCCTGTTTCTGCTATTCGTTTTTGCTGTTTTTACTCTTCAAAATAGAACAAAATTTTTTAAAAATTAAAGACTAACAACTTTGGTTTTAAGATTTTTCATGAAGATATTCAAATAACCATAAATCAAGCTGTGATATTATGCTGAAGATGCATTAAGTCAGAAGACCTATGCCAGTCTTATTACCACTGATTAGCTATGTAAGTTCAAGCAAACCATCTAGTCTCAGCTTTCACACAATAAGATATTATCTATCTTACATACAACAATATTATATAAAAATCACAAATTTTATAAAAATAAAGTGGTATTTTAACTTTACAACAAACAAATTTTAATGAGAAGGATAATGGAAGGTAGAAGACACAAAATCTCAAAAGGAAATGTTCCTTTTCATACAGCAATTGAGGAATAAATTCAATTTTTTCCTTTTTTCTAGCAACAGACTTAAAAGAGATAAATACTTGTACCTCAGTATCTTTGTTTTTATTTAGTTCATCCAATTAAAATCAAAAATACAACAATACTCTTGTTTGTTAGTTACTTCCCAGATCAAATGCTTTAGATGCCACTCACCCGAGATTTCTAATTCTGCCCAGTGAGATTTTTTCCCATTGGCTACCTCCTCTGCTGACATGATGGTATAAATTCTGCGAGGATCTGGAGGATCATATTTTTCCTTTGGCATCCCTATTAGTCTGTGGAGAAACATAAAATCAATTAGTATAATCCTACAGAGAAATAAAAAGAAACTGTGACAATTTTCTTTTCCTTTTCTATTACCAAGCTACTAAGTCATTTTATACCACAAATTTCCCTTGAAAACACATTATCTGCTGTATAATACACTCTTATTAAAGAAATTCACTAACATGATAGATTGACCTTACAACCAGTCTCCTGGTAGACTCTTACATTAGTCTAAGAGAATCAGATAGTTCTATCTTCCTTCCCTCAGTGATATGCAGATATCTTACTCAGCATAACATCCTACTTGGCAGATTAATTTAAAGATATATAAAAATCACAAGGCCTCAAGATTCCTCTATGTTTATTGGAGAAGCTTCTCTCTCCTATTGATAACAAATGAAAAAGAACACAGCCCACATCACTGTGGGGAGCCATCCAACAACTATGGAGAAAAAAGGACAGAGACCTCACTGAATCACACCTGTAGCACTTCCAAGCAAGCCAACATAGGATATTTCCCTTACTAAGGTAATCCGAGCTGTGTTTTCTGTTACTTGCCTCTAAATTCCTTGCAAGGCTTGATTTATATCTGTTGTCCTGAGATAACTGTTAATATTGCTCCTTTTCAATCTCCAGAGTAGCCAACTGGGTAAGTCATTGCACTGGTCAAAACTACTTCCATGCAACCTTTTTCATAATCATATACATTCATCAATGATGACCAACTGAGACTTAAAACTACTCAAATGTGCCATGTATAAAGATGACAAATGTCCCCTAAAAGTAACCTCATTCAAGCAATCCAGTATAAGGATTACTTTAACAGTAGGATTTACAAAAATGATGGGCTTCAGCCAGCCTGAATTCCTACGTACTATTCATAAATTGCCACATAATGCTATAGTTGGTTCTTTGCTCATACTTTAACATACAGAAACAAACACACCCCAAAGCCAAGTGTCTGAATCTCCAAGTTACTTCTAAGTTTAGGATTAAAATACGATTCAGTGGTAGAGAACCATGCCGCAGCAGGCTGTTTGTATCATTAAAAGCTCTAAAAAGTTTACCATCACTGAATAGGGGATCTTAAATTTTTTTTTACTTATACAGAATATAAAAGTAGTTCATCATATACCAGGAAATCAAAACTAGTTCATAAGTATACAATCAAAATTTCCCATACCATAATTTTGAAGAGGAAATAGTCATTTCCTTCCTTCTACTCAAAGGGGCAAAGAAAAGTTTTCCAGGTTTGCTTATCTTATAAAAGTAATTAGTTTCAAGGTTTCTACATTAAGTCCTTCAATTTTAATCTTATACAGGTTGGGTGATATTAAAGCATGATTTTCTATCTTATAAATTCATACTGTACAAAAAATATGATCATTTTCCACAGGAGGAAAAGTTGATTTTTTAAACTGGAAATTTGACTTGAAGTTATAAATCTACAAACTGCTTCAAGAAGAATTTAATGTTATTATAGAAGTTTAATTTTATTTCATTAACAATCAATTTGGACAACCTAAACTTAAGATTTTTCTCCCATAGTTCTGAATTAAGCCTCAGTCTCTTCCAATCAATTAAAATGCTTTAATGCCTCCAACTTATCTAAATATCCTATTTTTCAAAAAAGGTAATATAATTTTCAACACCAATTTTTTCAAGACTGTGATTTCTTATCCAGGTTTGATCCCCTATATCACATACTGCACCAGACTCCCCCTGGGGGGAGGCTGAGACAGGAGGATCACTGAATCTGAGCTGCAGAGTAAAACCCTGTACCAAACAAATAAATGATTTTAAAAGTCCTAATTCTAGGAAGAGCTTAATCACCACCAAAGGATGAGGAAGCTTGATTTCTAGGACCTTGCACAGACCGGGCAAAAGCATCTTTTGTTCAGCTATATCCCCAGTCCTTTCTCATTCTATATTTTGAAAGAGCATCTCCTGAGACTGTCTCCACAAGCCTCGAACTTGCAATCATCATGCCTCAGCCTCCTGAGGGGGTATGTATCATACCTGTCAGATAAGATTCCTACAGGGGAAGAGGGTATAGATGTATTTGTTGATTAATTTTTCTAAGTTGGGTGTATAAGCCAGGCCTATAAATACAGCACTCTGGGAGAATGAAGTGGGACGATCACAATCTCCAGACCAGCCTGAGCAACTTAGCAATTTAGCAAAACACTGCTTCAAAGTAAAAAAAAAAAAAAAAAAAAAAGAAATAAAATAAAATAAAGGCTGAGGATATAGCTCAAAGTGAAGTCTCTGGGTTCAATCGCCCAATACTATATATGCACTCAAGCATATATGCACACACACAAAGATAAAAGCTAGGCCTGCTGGTCATGCTTCTAATCACAGTCACTTGAGAAGTGGAGGCAGGAGGACCACATATGTGAACCCGTCTTGGCAATTTAGCTAGAACATGTCCCAAATTAAACTTTTAAAAAGGGCTGGAAATATATAGCACTTTCCTAGCATGTGCAGCAAGGCCCTTGGTTCTAACTCCACCATTACTTTAAAAAAAAAAAGTAAGGTAACAAAGAATTTCACATTTTTTATTCACAACAAGCAATATGTTCATAAAGGCTTTCAAATATTGAAAGACAAATTCCTCAATTTTTTTGTTATTGACAACAGACCAAGAACATATTATAACTTGATTTGGTTTCTTAACATTTCCTCTATTAAGTCTAGACAACTATTCTATGATGCTCTATTTGAAGTATTCACCTATTTCTGTGGTCTGAATACTCCCACATATATCTGAAATGCAAAGGTCCCACATGGCCTGGAAGCTAGAAGTGATACAGGGCTTGCCCAGCATGTGTGAGGCCCTTGGTTCAATTCCCAGTAGTGTGCATGTGTGTGTGTGTGTGTGTGTGTGTGTGTGTGTTTATAAAATAAAATTTTTTAAAAAATCAAAAAATTAGTAAAAATATCTCACATGACTGGCAGGTTTCGAGCTACCAAGGAACTGTCATCACAACAAGAGTTAGGAAGGAATGCCTAGTACCATATCATACTACATTTCAAATGTAAATAAGCTCAAGAACATAAACAATAATTAAGAACTTTTGTTTCTAGTATGATTTAACTTTATGTTTATAATTTAATTTTTAATAGATTATGTTTGCTAACTGGCTTACACAATTCCTGAAAAATTAACTCTCTGGAACAAGAACAACACAAGCATACCACCACAAATACAAGAAATCTTGCCCTCCCTCTATCCAGACCTCAATCCTATGCAAACAGTTGTGCTTCACTGAAAAATTCAAATAAAATAATGACTTCCTCTGTGCTATATCTACCAAAATTTACATCTCCGACTCTACTTCCAAAGAGGCTTACTTAATAAATGTTAAGACCAAGGGCCAGCCAAATAGCTCAGCAGAAAAAAATAATAATAATAACTCAGCAGATTAAAGCACCTGCAAGCAGGTGCAGGGCCAGGGTTTCGATCCCCAGGCACAAGGCAAATGACACCGGGAGGCAACTGACACCGGGAGGCAACTGTCACTGGACGTGGTGGTGTGCGCCTGTAATCACAGCTCTTGGGAGGTTGTATACAGGAGGATGACTATGAGTCCAATCTAGTAGTCAGACCCTGAATACCCTGTACACCCTTCCTTAAAATACATTTAAAAAAAGACCTAGAAATTGTTGTTTATAAGGATGTGCACATTCTAATACATGAGAACAATTAAAATTTTATAAAGTGAAGGAAAAGACCATATGTGGTTCAACAATTCCAAACTTGGCTTTAGACTTTAAGGAAGAAAGACTACATACTCAATATAAATTCTTACATAAATTGAGATGAACAGTACTCAAGACAGTCTAAGAAAACAATATACCTCATAAACATAGATGCAAAAACTTTTTAGCAATGCCAGTTGCTCCAATTCCAGCACACGAGAGACTGAGGTAGGAGGATCACAAGTTGAAAGCCAGCCCAGGCTATGCAGTAAGTCTAAGGTCAGCCTAAACTATATATTTAAACATTAAAAAAAAAAAAAAAAAAAAGAAAGAAAGAAAGAAAGAGGAAAGGAGGAAGAGGGGAAGGGGAAAGGAATGAAAGAAAAAATACAAGGAAGCACTAGAAACATAGCTTCTGTAAATCAGGTAAAGGGTTGAAGGGAAGGAAGAGAAGAATGGCAGAAAAAGAAAACTGAAGATATATTATGTACAGGTACAAATTATGATGAAAGTGATATGACAATCCATAAAATGATACATTATAAAAAGTGATATTTCAGGAATGCAAAGCTGATTTAACATTTTTAAAAAACAATATAATTCACCCATCAATATATTTTGTTAAATATTATCATCTCAATAAACACATAAAAAGAAAATAAGCTCTTGGCCATGGTGGACACAGAGATATCCACCCCTGCCAAGGATGTCAACAGGTTCTCCCTACTTCAAAGCCCCCCCATTAAAGTGATTTGGTCTCCAAAAAAAAGCAAATGATGGCCAGGTATGAGGTAGATGCCTATAAACTCAGAACTCTAAGGCAGAATCAGGAAGATATCAAGTCCCAGCCTGGTCAATGAAACAACACAGCAAGGCTGGTTCTCAAAGTAAAATAAAATGGGGGGGGGAGGGGGGCATAGGAGATGGGGCTAGAGATGTAGTTTATTATAAAGACTAGGTTCAATCCCCGTGGCTATGCGGGTACTGTACTCACACACAGTCACAGTCAAAAACAATTCTCACTTTTTTTCCCTTTGTATAATTTGGAAACCCCTGAGACAGGGAGACCCCTGACTAGCAGGGTAGATCATAATATGGCTGGAGTCCAGCACAGGATCAACAAAACTCTATAATTACACTCAAAACACCCTTAATCCTGGTAACCAGAGCAAATAGTGATATAGTTTATTTCTCTGAAATATGAACAACTATTATATACCCATTTACTATTTAGCAAATTCAATAACACAGGAAAACCATGTTCCCATTCACTACCTTAATGAATTCTGATACTAGCAAT